ATGAGAGAGAGAAAGAATGAGTACATGAGGGGGGGACAGGGGGCCAGAGTTATGTAAACAAAACAGGCGAACGTAAGTTTTGTAAACAAACGAAGTGAAACCGTCTGGTTTGTGTACAATTTACATTGTGTACAGGTTGTCTCCACATTGATACGGTTGAATTAATAAAGAACACTCCCATTCTCATGAAACATCATTTTGAGAAGAAATGAAGCTCTGAGTGAAGGCAATGGAAATAAGGTCACACTGACTTTTTTGGGTTATCCTAGGTTCTCTACACGTATGTTGTTATGTATGATAATCTATGTAACTGTTTTTGTGTATACCTGAATAAACTTACTTACATACATTACGAAAGGAATAATTTTCTACAGTTCCCCCCAGAAACACATTTTTCTTATGTTAGATTAGAGAAATGTTATTCTTGCCGTCACTTGTAAAAGTTATGTGGCTCCCAATCTTATTTTATGTTTATTTATTCTATTGTGGGGTGTATTTATCATCTTTTTATGTTATGTATCGTGTTTATTATATAATTTTGAAAAAAAAATATCATGGATGGATTAATGAAAATGTGTTATTAACGTAATATACGACATTTAATGAGACTCGGTGGAGTATTGTTATTATTATTATCATTTCTAATATGGCGTCACTTGTGCAGTCGTTTTGCTACACATCTCACATTTTGTTTATTTTTCTACTGTGGGGTGCATTTATCTTATTTATATGTTATGCATCGTGTTTATTATATAATTTTGAAAAAATATCATGGATGGTTTAAATTGAAATTTTGGAATATTAACGTAATATACGACATTTAAATAATCGATGATTATTATTATCATTACTAATATGACGTCTGGGACATAAGCCCATTACCAATTTTAATGTGTACCTGCATGCCAGCAACAGTATGTAAGTTTATTTAGGTACAGGTATATATAAGTATAATTATCAGAGTATATATAAAATATGAAATAACTTTTAAAAACATTTGAAATTTTGGAATTTCCAGACAAAATGGAGAGACTTAGTGCTTACTGAGCTCATGGAGAATGTAAACAAACAGGGTGGGGCACGGTGACCGTATTAGAAAGTCAGGTGGGGGGAGCCGTATAGCGAGTTTTGGTCATAATTTGAAATGTCCGTATTAGTGGAACGCCGTAAAGTGAAACGCCGTAAAGCGGGGCCTTCCTGTATACATAACTAAGTATGAAAGTGAGAGTCAGGATGACTTGGTCATCATTGTTTGTGTGTAAGATCATCCCTGGATCCCTGGAGATCAGAGTAAAGTGAACTAATGAAATCCTCCATAACATTCAGTAGCAAGATCATCATCTTGCAACACGAGTTGCTTAAAAATTGAACAAAATATTTAAGGCACAATCCCCAGCAGCCACCATGGCATTAAAAACCTTGGTGAATGAATGGAGCGTGAATGTTGACATGATTCACTCTTTAATTGTATTTAAGGTACCTTTTACATTTCACTTCCTCTGACATCTCATACACCAATTAGTTATTTTAGTGTGTAAGCCAGGTATCTGGCATAATATTTATCTTACATAGAATATATGATACCCTCTACCTGGAGTTTACCTGGAGAGAGTTTCGGGGGTCAACGCCCCCGCGGCCCGGTCTGTGACCAGGCCTCCTGGTGGATCAGCGCCTGATCAACCAGGCTGTTGCTGCTGGCTGCACGCAAACCAACGTACGAGCCACAGCCCGGCTGATCAGGAACTGACTTTAGGTGCTTGTCCAGTGCCAGCTTGAAGACTGCCAGGGGTCTGTTGGTAATCCCCCTTATGTGTGCTGGGAGGCAGTTGAACAGTCTCGGGCCCCTGACACTTATTGTATGGTCTCTTAACGTTTCTAGTGACACCCCTGCTTTTCATTGGGGGGATGGTGCTCGTCTGCCAAGTCTTTTGCTTTCGTAGTGAGTGATTTTCGTGTGCAAGTTCGGTACTAGTCCCTCTAGGATTTTCCCGGTTTTATATAATCATGTATTCTCTCCCCTGCGTTCCAGGGAAAAACAGGTTTAGAAACCCCAAGCGCTCCAGTAATTGAGGTGTTTTATCTCCGTTTATGCGCGCGTTTAAAGTTCTCTGTACATTTTCTAGGTCGGCAATTTCACCTGCCTTGAAAGGTGCTGTTAGAGTGCAGCAATATTCCAGCCTAGATAGAACAAGTGACCTGAAGAGTGTCATCTGGGCTTGGCCTCCCTAGTTTTGAAGGTTCTCATTTACCCATCCTGTCATTTTTCTAGCAGATGCGATTGATAAAATGTTATGGTCCTTGAAGGTGAGATCCTCCGCCATAATCACCCCCAGGCTTTGACGTTGGTGTTTCGCTCTATTTTGGGGCCCAGAATTTGTTTTGTACTCTGATGAAGATTTAATTTCCTCATGTTTACCATATCTGAGTAAATTGAAATTCTCATCGTTGAACTTCATATTGTTTTCTGCACCCCACTGAAAGATTTGGTTGATGTCTGCTGGAGCCTTGCAGTGTCTGCAATGGGAAGACACTGTCATGCAGATTCGGGTGTCATCTGCAAAGGAAGACACGTTGTGTGGCTGACATCCTTGTCTATGTCGGAAAATGAGGTTTTGGGGAACAAGATGGGAGCTAGTACTGTGCCTTGTGGAACAGAGCTTTTCACCGTAGCTGCCTCGGACTTTACTCTGTTAACGACTACTCTCTGTGTTCTGTTAGTGAGGAAATTATAGATCCATCGACCGACTTTTCCTGTTATTCCTTTAGCGCGCATTTTGTGCGCTATTACGCCATGGTCACACTTGTCGAAGGCTTTTGCAAAGTCTGTATATATTACATCTGCATTCTTTTTGTCTTCTAGTGCATTTAGGACCTTGTCGTAGTGATCCAGTAGTTGAGACAGACAGGAGCGACCTGTTCTAAACCCATATTCGTGTTAGAAAATAAATTCAGAGTCCTTTGAGGTGCTCTAAATAGTTTAGATATTATAGTTTAGATATCAAATATTATTTCTACCAGTACATGTACAAGGTATACAGACCATAGCTGACATCAATGACATACTATTGTATAGAAAGCCACTTATGCTGAGCATTTCCCACAAATAAGGTTAATTTTGTCCCAGGATGTGACCCACACCAGTCCACTAACACCCAGGATGTGACCCACACCAGTCCACTAACACCCAGGATGTGACCCACACCAGTCCACTAACACCCAGGATGTGACCCCACACCAGTCCACTAACACCCAGAATTGTGACCCACACCAGTCCACTAACACCCTGGATGTGACCCCACACCACCCCAAATAACACCCAGAATGTGACCCACACCAGTCCAATAACACCCAGAATGTGACCCACACCAGTCCAAGAACACCCAGGATGTGACCCACAGAAGTCCAAAACACCCAGGATGTGACCCCATCACAACCCCGGGTCCCCCCTTAACACCCAGAATGTGACCCACACCAGTCCACTAACACCCGGATGTGACCCACACCAGCCCCACTAACACCCAGGTACCCATTTTAAAACTGATGGGTGAACAGGGACAGGGACAACAGGTGTCTTATGGAAACACGTCCCTAATTTGACCAACATGCTCAGCATATCAAGCGGTTTTCTATATACTAGTGTGTCACTGATGTCAACTAGGTCTGTATGCTATGTACATGTACTTTAAGTAAAAAGATATTATTATTATAATTTGAAATTTATTTGGCCCTAAAGTTCCACAGGACAGATACATCGTACAAAGATGCCATCAGGCAGCGATGATCGGCTGGGTTGGGTGGCGGTCAAAAAATTGTAGCTCTTTTTGTTTACCGTCCAATTTACTCCAGTTTTGGTGGGACAAGACAAAGTGTTTTCACTCTTTCTTGAAAAATTTATCAAAAATATACCTCAAACAACAACTGAGAAAAGACTGAAAAAGGACTGATTTACTGAAAATGCCCTTAGGCAGGTTGCTTGTCCTATATGGGACAACGTAAGGTTGTTTGGACACTTGGTGCCAAGAGAACAATGCTTATACGAATTATATAAGCTGCCTGTCCTTTAAAATAACTTATATTTATTTCACAAAAAATAAAGTTTGTTAGTTCTTGGAATGTTGCAAAAAATCTGCCCTTTACCCCCCCCACAAAGTATTTGGAATATTTCCAAAAATTGAGCAATTTTAATTAGAGATATCATTATTCTACAATTTCTGTGAATATTATTCCATTTAATTAAGTAATAAAGGCAGAACGATGTACCAGAGGTGAATAAGTTACTTCCGAGATATTGGCCTGGAACACCGGCCGGCCCGCCGTCTCGAAATTTTTTTTTTCCGCGAAAATCGCGTTTGTTTGGGTGTATTTCTTAGTAAACTGATGTTCTAGTGCAGTTATCCTCTTCAAAACACCGTTTTCTCTTACTTAGAGACCAAAGAATACGGCATGAGAGGAATAACTCATTTATATCAAAATATTCCCGATGGTCTCTCGCCATATTAAGGCTTATTTTATTCACTCTAGAGTATATAACATGTTTGTATGTTATTTATAGTGTTTATTATATCATATTAGATCAATTCTGATAGATAAATAAGCCGTAGAGTGATATATAAGCTGATATATGCGTAATAATGAAGTGATTTCTCCTGGCACTTTCTGGAGCCGAGCGTTCCCATATGGTGCCTGGTTGGCTCTAAGTCTACAGATAAGCTCCGCCTTCTGTTTTATGATGCCAAATAGTCAGTTATTATATTAGAAAGAATAATGCAAGAAAAAGAGATAAAAAACAAGGAAAAAATTCCAAAAAATATATGAGCTGTGAGCAGACTCGCTACCCACATCGCCGTCACCATACCTGATATAAATGACTATAATTTCTTGTAGAAACGTCGTAGAACATTCATTCTGGTACCATTGTGTTGCCAAAGAGTTAAGCTATTTTTTGGTATAAATAACTCAATTTCCATAATTCTTCAATTTTTTTGAGAGCGCGCGGAAAATTGCCTGACTGCACCCAAAACACACACACACCTGGGTTGGCGAAGGTGGTTGGGAGGTACTTCTTAATTGATAGATTTACCCTTCAATGAAGAGGTAGGTAGTTTATACTGTTAGTACACTAATATTAGGACTATTGAGGCAAATGTAGATAATAATAATGTAGACCTAAGACCTTAACGTAGGTAGTAATAGGCTGATAATGTAGGCAAACACTAGGTTATGTTAGCCAGGGAGAACTGACAGCCCAAGTTTGAATACTGGGGCACGGTCTGAGACCACAGTGCCCTTTCTTCTAAGACCAGACACCGTCTGAGCAACAAGTGCCGTGATCAGCAGGCGGTGCCACCACGTGTCTTCATATACTAGACCTGGGGAAATCTGGTGGAGGCACCTCGACGTACCGTAGATGACCTCCTCCGCCACGACCATACAGTAAGACAAGACCTCCCTTTCTCACTCAGTTCTGGCCAGTCTCTGGGGGGAATTTGAGAGTGAGTTGAGCTGTGGGCCTTGTACAGGCGGCAGTTCATGACCAGTACGTACCAGCGTCTCTTGTCAGCCTATTGATGTTGGTGAGGGGCTCTTGATTTAGGGAATTGGATCTGTGCTCTAGTTCCCTGAATTAAGCCTGAATGCCTTCCACATCCCCCCAGGTGCTGTATAATCCTCCGGGTTTAGTTGCTTCCCTGCTTCCTCTTGATTGATAATACTGAATGAATCTGGTCAGCCTAGAAGCCAGTGAATTCAGTTAACTCTCGTCATGAGTTCTAGGGCAAGTCAGAGGGCACCGGTTGAAACCAGAATTTCCTAAAGTGTGCATCACTAAAGGCAATTTGAATTCAGATTTAAGGAATCTGTTTGCCACTTGGTGAGGCGAAGTACCAGATGGTGTTAAGCTTGGCAGGTGAACACCTGTGAGTAGATTCCAACCCAAGTAGGTGTCCTATACAGCTTGCAGGGAGAAATCTTTCTGAACACACTCAACTATGTCAACACAGCTTAAAAGACCACTTGGGAGGCTGAGGTACCCACCTCAGAGCTCGGTGTTAACACAGCTTGCCAGGGTAGACAACTTGTGAGGCTGAGGTACCACCTCAGAGCTAGGTGTTAACACAGCTTGCCAGGGTAGACAACTTGTGAGGCTGAGGTACCCACCTCAGAGCTAGTGTCAACACAGCTTGCCAGGGTAGACAACTTGTGAGGCTGAGGTACCCACCTCAGAGCTAGGTGTTAACACAGCTTGCCAGGGTAGACAACTTGTGAGGCTGAGGTACCCACCTCAGAGCTAGGTGTTAACACAGCTTGCCAGGGTAGACAACTTGTGAGGCTGAGGTACCCACCTCAGAGCTAGGTGTCAACACAGCTTGCCAGGGTAGACAACTCACATGGAGGCAGTCCAGACAAATTTTCTCACAAGTGATTCAAGGTAAGTTTGATTAGCAGTGCTTTGATCCAATGACCTGGAGCTACATTGCCATCCCTCGGATCAAACGTGGTATTATATTTCCCAGGTGCTATATGACCCCTAAGGGTTTAGCACTTCATCGTAAATATAAAATAATTGCGTTGTCAGTTTTTTTCAACTATTAAGGTACTCTTAACAATGTCATTTTAATAAAACTTGATATGGTTACAATTAACCATCATTTAAACCAAAAAATGTTCAATATTAGGTTCATTTTGCCATGAACACTGGTTTATATTATGCAGATTTAATGGAAATAAGTCACTTTGATTTTTTGGGTTATCCTGGGTAATATACACATGCTACTATATATAATAATTGCCCTTGCGTGTACCTGTATCTTAATAAATGTATCTAACCTAGTGTAACCTTACTTCGCCAGGGGTAGCTGTAGGACTAACTCGCCTTTCTTTACATACAATTAATCTCTTTACGTTCACTGTGATGGGTCAGGAGCTGCAATATTAACCGTTGATTGGCCCTGGTATGATGCACCTCTTAAGACTAAATGTATTTTTAATATTTTCCAAAATAACAATTTAGCTAAGAAAAAAATTGTGCCGGGGTGTAGACGGCAGGTGGTGTCAGTGGCAGAGTTGGTGTCAGTGGTAGAGTTGGTGTCAGTGGTAGAGTTGGTGTCAGTGGTAGAGTTGGTGTCAGTGGTACACATCAGTGGTACAGGTGGTGTCAGTGGTACAGATGGTGTTAATGGTACAGGTGGTAAGAAGACATTGAACTACAAGAAGCCTTTATTGGTACATCATTCCTTCCACTAGGGTCTTCAAGTACAATAGAGTATAATACAGTACCTGGAAAGCATGAGAACAATGATCAATGTTTGAGGTCAGGAAATTCAGCCGAAGGAGGCAGATGTATTTCTTTCTGCATATATGTATACTGTATATATATTCACCTAGGAGTTTACTTCAATCCGTGTTTTAGGGATTAAAGTATTTTTGCTAGGTGGTGATAAAGTTATGTCCAACTTTGATGATCCTAGTGTAGTCAAATGGCTTTCAACCCCATTAACCATTATGTTTTAAGTTGAGTGTGGCCAAGGTGAATGTCACTGTTCTGAGTAATGGTGTTGGATAGTTTGATGATCGAGGACTCCAGGCATATTCATTTAATTTTGTCATTTTTAACCCTCTTGGAAGATTGCTGTCTACCAATGTTACTTTTACTTTCAGATGAGTGTGGTGTTGGTGTTGGGTTCTGGTGGTAGGGAGGATGCTCTAGCTGCTGCCCTGGCTGCCTCTCCTGCAGTGTCATCTGTCCTCATTGCCCTGGGTAATGCTGGCACTTAAACCACTCCCAATGCCACCAACATTTCCCTCAACATCAAGGATCACCAAGTAAGGCATATAAAACTTGAACATTGCTAACGTACAGATGCATTGTTAAAAGTGTTTATACTGTGGAATGTGGTAATTTTGGTGACCACTATTATGGGACTGTGATAGATATGTTACTGTATTGTGCATAAATTTTTATTGGGTTTTCCAGGCAGTTGTTGGTGTATGCAATGATTGTAAAGTCAGTGTGGTGGTCATAGGGCCAGAGGACCCTCTGGCAGATGGTCTGGCCAACTCACTTACTGCTACAGGAATTAAGGTTAGGCTTAAGTTTAGGAAGCTAAATACTAAGCAAATTCTTTATAATCCATTGTATGCTATTTAAACTGATTAAAATATTCATTAACTTTATTTAGTTACTGCCAGAATACATGTATACCTGTAATTTTTTTAACACTGGCTGTCTCCCATTGAGGTAGTGTAGCCTGACAAAGAAAATGATTTCACTATCACTTAGTCACTGTCTTGCCAGAAAGGCACCAACATTACAGTTCAGATGACCCTTCAAACTGCAACATCCCCATCCCTTCTTCAGAATGCAGGCACTATACTTCCTACCTTCAGGATTCCAACTAACCGGTTTTTCTTGAATCCCTTCATAAAAACCACTTTCATCCACTCCTATCTACACACAAGCACCTAGCACTCAAAACCTCCTTTCCCCTCCCCTCCCTCAGACATTTCCTAGGACAACCTCCTTCCCTGTACTCCATATTTATTCACCCTCCTTGTCATCCTATTTTTTCATCCTCAGGCTTCTAAATAATACTTTTGGTAACTTTACACACTTCCTAATCTCCCAACTCCGTATAGTCTGCATAATATTAGCACCACGCATTGCTCTTAAATACGACATCTCTACTGTCATGTAAGCATTGTACTTCTGCATATAAAAAATGGTGAAATACAGTGGACCCCCACCATACAATGGCATCACCTTAGGTTAAATCCACCACACAATACATTTTAACGCAAAAATTTTGCCTCACCTCACACGATTCGTCCGAGACGCGTCCCACATGTGGCCTGAGCACGCCTCAGCTGCCCCATGGGTGCCAGTGTTTACAAGCCAGCCAGTGCGGTCGCATCCACACATACAATCAGAATATTTCATATTATCACAGCGTTTTTAGTGATTGTACCTGCAAAATAAGTCACCATGGGCCCAAAGAAAGCTTCTAGTGCTAACCGTGCAGTAAAAAAGGTGAAAATTACTATGGAAATGAAAAAAGAGAAATTGTTTAAGAAAGAAAGGGGAGGGGTTTTGCCCCGGACTGGCCGGGTTTGTCCCCCAAAACCCCCCAATCAACCATCGTCCCTATTGGGGCCAAAGAAAAAAAACAATCAAGGAAAGGGGTTTTTGAAAAAAGGGCAAGTTGTTTTCAAATCACAAGTACCAAAGATGTTGAGGAGGGTTTAATTGGTGTGGAAAACCGAAAAAAAGAAAGGGGAAAAACCCATCTTTCAAGCGTTTAATGAAAAAAAGGGTGGGAAATACGAACTATTTTCCCCGGTCAGCGGCGCTGAAAATGGTCGGGGTTTTGCTGCAGGGGGGTCGTTTTTGGTGCTTCACAGTCAGTTTGCTGCAAAATTTGGCCCCGCTGCGTTTGCCAAACATTTCAGCTGTTGCTGAACCAAGTAAATGCTGCGCCCCACATCAGCCCCTGCTGCACCACCGGATTTTGCTGCGCACCCCCCATCAGTGCTGCGCGCCACATTCAGCTGCTGCTGACCACCGTCACTTTTTTCGGGCACCCCCCGGGCTGCTGCTGCACCCCCGTCAGCTTTTGGGGCGGGAAACCACGGTCAGTGCGTTGCCCCCGGCAGCTCCCGGCTGCCCCCACCGTCGCTGCTGCTGCATCCCCGTAAAGTTGTTCTGCCCAGTCAGCTTTTGCTAAAACCCACAGTGAGTTTGCTGCTCCCCCAGGGTCAGCTGCGCCCCACCCAGTCAGCTGCTGCCCCACCACAGCCCGTGCTGCGTACCCCCCCTCAGCTTTTTTCTGACCAAAAAGCCCAAAACCCCGAACCTGTCCGTCTCCCTTTACGCCTCAGTTTGGACTGTTTTTAATTGTTTTCCCAAGCCAGGGGGGGCTGGTTTGTTTGAAAATTTTTCGATACATTTTGTATTATCCTTTTTTATAGTGTTTTGTAACTGCTAAAAAAAGCCACCAGGGGCCCCAAAGAAAGCAGTTTTTGTCCCAAAACCCTGGGTAAAAAGGGTGAGAAATAGGGTATATCATACCACAGTCAGTGCTGCTGAAACCACATGGCTGTTTGCGGGCCCCCGGGTTTAGTGTTGTTTCACCACGGCAGCTTTTGCTGCACCAGGGGTCACTTTTTGCTGCACCAGCCCAGCTGTTGCTGAACCACATCAGTGCGGGGGGGCACCACAAATCAGGCTCCCTGCGGGCACCATAGTCACTGCCCCCAAACACCACTGTCAGCTTTTTGCTGAAACCGGGTTTCACTGTTCTGCCCATTTTCAGCTGTTGCTAAACCCCCGGTGACTGCTTTTTGCACAGGGGTGAGCTGCGGCGCTTCACAGTAAAGCTGCTGCTGCACCAAATCAACTGTTGTTTTCCCAACCATGGCCCTTTTTGCTCCCACCCAAAAATGGGCGGTTTGAACCCCAAAAGTCAGAATTTGTTTGCACCAAAGTCAGTGTTGCTGACCATGGTCATTGTTGCGACCCACAGTAAACTGTTGTAAAACCAAAAGTCACTGTTGCGCCCGGCAGCTGTTGTGAAACCACAGCCCAGCTGGCCCTAGGGGGCATTAAAAGAAGGGGGGGAAGAAACCCCCAGAAAAGGACTTTCTTTTAAAGCCCCTAAGGGAAAAGGGGAAAAATTCCCCTTTAAAAAACCCATTAACAACTTCCATACTCTCCCCCCTTTCCACCCCTTTCAATCATCCCCAGATTTCAAAAAAGGAAAGTGTCATTTTGGTGAAAATTAAAATTAATTTTTAATTGGAAAAATTTTTTTTTTTTAACTTGTGGTCCCCTTTGCACGGAAAAATTTTGTTTTTCATTATTTTTTTTGGGGAAAAAATTTTAATTCACCTTCGAAAAATTTCTGCATACGATGAGCTCCAGGAAGGGAAATTTTTAAAAACGAAAGGTGGGGGTCCACTTAAAAAGTAATAAAAATTTGGACTTTTTTTCAATAAGATTGGCCAAACAAAAAACTGAAAAATAAAAAAATAATAATAATTGCGATTAAAAAATTTTGGCACACCCGGGTTTTGGTCAAATTTTAATTTTTTTGGGGCGCTGGGGAAACCCTTCCACTCAAAGAATTGTCTAACTGAATTTATTAAGTAAGGAATGAATGTACGTAACTTACCCTTCATGCCTAAAAAAAATACATTGGGTGGTTTTTTGACTTTAAAAAATCGGCCTTCACCTTCCCTTCACAACAAAAAAAAAAATTTTCCCGGGAAAATTCCAAAGACCCCAAAGCAAAAAAAAACCCAAATTTGCTTTTTTTCAAATTTTTTTCCAAAAAAAATTTCATTTAAATTTAAATTTCTTTAACCCTTTGAGGGTCAAACAGGCCCCTCCGAAAAAATCGTTCCCAGGGTGGGCCCAAAAATTTCAAAAAAAAAAAAAAAAATTTTTTTTTCTTATGAAAAAATTGTTTTTTTTTTCAAAACCATTTTTGATTAAAAAAAAAAAATTTTTTCCGTAAATTATTTACCGAGAAGGGGAGGCATGAATTTCCAAAAAATTAAACCAAAAACTGGTAATATCGCCGTACCCCGTCACCCTTTTTTTTTCTATTTACTTTTTTATGTATATTTTCAATTATTTTTAAATTTTTTTTTCCTTTTTCTGGTAACTTTTAGGGCCTCTGAAGCCAACATGATCGGGTTTTTTGTAATTTATTTTTTTTTAAAATACTAACAAAAAAGGGCGTAAACATTTTTTTGTAATCATTTTTTTGGCTTATAAAAAAAGTTTAACAAAACGATGGGGGAAATTTTGGTTTATTATTTTTTTTTCTATATTTTATATAACATAAAACAGCCCACGGGGAAATGTTTTAAAAAGTTTGCACCTTTGTGGAACTCTTTGAAACAGGGGGTGCCCCATGCACAGGGGTTTTATTACATTCCTCACCCAAAAAAAACGATGTCTCTGCATTGTTTGTCGGCGTTTTTTGGGTAGGGAAACCCAGACGAAAACCTTCCTTCTGAGCCTTTTTCTTGAAATCAGTCAGCGGGCATTTTTTCCAGGAATTGATCACCATACTTCAGACAAGCGGGAAGTTGTGTTTAATTTGGTGGGCGGTAAATTTGCAGGTGCTGTTCCTTGGTACTTGAATACTTTTGTTGATGACAGAAAAACAAAAATTCGCCTTTCCCTTGGGTTTGGGTTTTGGGGCCCTCATCTTATACTTTTTAAAAGCATTGAGCAGGGAAATGTCCAAAGATGGAAAAAGAGTTTAAATGTAACCAAAATAACCTTGCGAACACAATCAAAAACCCAAAATTGCATGACACTTTTGTCCACTAAAAACGCATTTTTAAAAGGGTTGTAATCAATCAAAAGCGCGGGTTTTTAAAAATTGGGTTCATTGTTTCTCTATGTTCCCTCCCAATTTTCGGGGCCTTTTTCATTGGGTGAACTGATGACAACAGTGTAAAAAAAAAACATCTCTTTTGGGCATCCCACCGAAATGCCTTGAGTCATTGGCAGCAAACGCCCTGCACCCACCTCTAGGGAGTGCCACGCCCAAACCGGGGCATAGGGTTTTGATTTGCCCGCACTGTGCCAACAAAATTTAAATTTTCCACCCAAAAAAATCATGGGGGGCTTTTTGTACCCAGTTATCTGTATATAAAAGAAATGCCCCTTACCAAGGAATGGTTCTATCATTTTTTTAACCCCAAAACCCCTGAGAGGGCCCAATAACTTCTTTTTTTTGGCAATGAAAACTTCCAGGTACACAAAAATACCCCTTTACCGACCACTGAAAACAATCCCCAAACCCCCAAACCCCTTTATCCCAAAAGGCTTTTCCCTTTGCTTGGTATTACTGCTTGAAAAAGGGTTTTCCCTTTTAAAACAAATAAAAGACTCTAAATTAAAAGTTTTCCGGGAAGGAATAAAAATGCGTACTAAAATTTTTTTTTTCAGATCCCAAAAAACAATTCCTAATTTTTTTTTAACCGTCGTTTCTGTCAGGCCGGGTTTTGTCTGAGAATTTGAACCCAAAGAAACATTAAAAAAATCGTTTTCACTGGCATTATATCACAAAAACCCGGGGGGTTCCCAATTTCAGGGGTCTGTTGACCGGAAAAATTTCAC